TGTTCTCTTGATGACACAAAGTATGTGACAATATGCAAATCATGAATAAAAATAATTTGTAGTGTTCATGTCTTTTATATGTTCCCTTAATTGTATATGAGATAATTAGTTAAAAAAGGATGGCAAATATTTTCCAAGAAAACAACTTGTACACCTCGACCTTTTGCACCTTTCTCTGTCTACAAACACTGATTATTCCTAGAATTCTATTATATATGACAATGTGAAAAGACCTGATTAGAGAAGAATTACGAGAATGACAATGGCAAACCAGTGAGTGGCTGTATTTCAAACGAAATTATTCGAACGAATACACAGAAACACAACAACTCCGTTGATGTACGCGCTACACTTAGTTGCTTAGTGTGTATTTGTGTTAATTTCGACTAAATCACAGCAACGAACAAATTTTTTACATTTTTCTCCAAACAACGTATAGAATAAGGACCTTTTGACTGTCTACCTGTAACCAATTTTTGAATGCAATGATGTTTTTCGGAAGAAGAAAGTTTCATGTGTTTCATAAATGAGGTCATAGGGTATAGAAAAAATACAATCATTATGATGCTAATGACTTTCGGGACTTTTTTTTGGGTAGATAAGCTTCTTCAAACTCATTTTTCGATTCCATAATCTACATTAAAATTCAGAGCAATTGGTGTAATACTAGGGGCTTTTATCTTCAAATGTATACGATTTATACTGTAAATAGTGAACTATATTGCAAAATCATCTGTAATACGCGCAAATAAATTTGCAAAACTGCATATATTTTGTGTATATTTCGTCCATGGCATGTTTTTTCATTCTCTTTTGTGCGGATATTCTTCGATTCTGTGTAGCTATACTGTGTGTGTGTGTGTTCACTGCAGTTTAAAATACACCTTATTCACTAGTATAGGCGAGAAATTTTAATCATGTATATGATGAATAGGACGTGAATATTGTGTATATATAAATTTGTATGAACGAATACATAAAAGCCCCTAGGTTCGTGTACAGCTCTGGCTATAATTATAACTAAAACATTAATAACGTGAATTTATTTTCGGGTAAAACGATAAGATTAGAATTTCCTATGATTCATCTAATTTATTGTTTTGACCCGAAAATGAATTACTGAATTAATTGCTGAAACAACAACAATCGATTTGTCGCAAAAGCTTGAATATGCCACAGGTCACACATGTGTAGAAATTAGGGCTTATTGGATTTAAAAATAAAACAAATACAATGTATGGTAAACATTTCCTTCAATCTTATTAATTGCCAAATACTATAATTGTTTATACCTTCAAATAAAAACAAGCAAAAAAATATATAATTGATCAATAAGTCAAAAGTATTATCATTTTTATTATATGCAGATGCGAAACTAAAAATGTACAAAAAGAATTATGGTGTTAAAAAAAGAATCGTATTTATTTGATTTTGTCGTAAACTTCTGGTCTTCTTGCTCTGAACAATGGTAGTGCCTCTCGAACTCTTTGCAAAACTTTTATATCTGATGAATAAAGATAAAATGAATGAGTGTGCAAATAAACAAATGAAATATCCATTGAAGTGCGCAAAAAAACCGACCAATTTCATGGAAAATAATTTCTTCTCGTATGCCAGCTTCTGTCAAAATCTTTCCGGTTGGATCGATAATCATGGAATGTCCATAGATTACATAATTGGATTTTTCATTGCGTGCCGGTGATATTGCAGCCACAAAGAGTTGATTGTCATTAGCTCGAGATCGATGGAATAATTCCCAATATGGAGGTCCAATGCAGAGATCATATGCAGCAGGAACAAACAGCACCTCACATGCTACGAATTAATCAATGTTTTAAAAATCAAACAGTAAAAAGTTTTAAGATGAACTCACCCGATTTCCGATACGTTTTGATAAATTCATCAAAAAAGGCATCATAACAAATTGCAACACCGCATTTGATACCGTTGATTTCAAAGGTGGTTGTATTCTCTCCGGGCGTAAATCTATTCACTTCAACAATATCACTTTCATTTTTGAAATGAATATCACACAAATGAACCTTAAAATTAAATTCAAGTTTGCTATTGAGTTGCACATATTTGTTTAAATTATTTTTCACTTACTTTTCGATGTTTTGCGATCAATTCACCCTTTTCATTCCAAACTGTTGCCGTATTATAGAGATTTGCACCATCACGTTCAACAATTGAACCGCCTACTATGTGTAAATTAAATTTTTTCGCGAGAGCAGACAGCGTTTGACATGTTTTGCCATCTTTTATTGTTTCAGCATTCGCATTCAAAATGGGAAGTTCTGTTTCATAAGCAAAAGTGAAACATTCGGGCAATGCAATTATATGCGGTTGATGTTGTTTTACTGCTGTTTCAACTAATTCCTCCAGGTGGCTTAATGTTTGTGTTAAGTCGCCTTTATCCAAAAACTGAAGCAAACATATTCGTAACTCTAAAATACAAATATTACTAATCAGATATTCTGAAGTAGAATGGAAATATATACTCACTTGTATTTTCACATGATGCCATTGTTAAGAAATTAAATTGAATTGAATCATAGCCTAATGGAAAAGCGAACTGCTTCAACTGCAGCGTTTAAAACTCGCTCACTTTATTTATATAGCTAAAAAATGTTTCACCATTATTACATACAATCCTACTTGGAGAGACTATAACATCACATTCATACATACATTAAGAATTTTTTTTTTCAATTGTTCATATCATCGGTGTACTAGGGGATTAACACATGTCTATTTTTCAGTGAAGTGACATTTCTCATACACCGATTTCGGAGCGGTATCTCGGAATTGGTTTAGTTCTGTGTGAACTGAACGGAGCAAGGGGAACGTTCCGAGAATGGTTTGCGTGGCGACGTGAATAGCAATTCACACTAATATACACCCACAGCCATTGTACGGTGTGTATACTACACAGTGTAAACCATTGTCGGAACGTTCCAGTTCGTTTGGTAAGTGAAACCAATGAAATGGTTTGGTTTTGGTTCACTTCACTGCTATTTTTTCTACCGACTGATAAATAAATGATATTTATACACAAAAAATTATACAATGAAAACTAGATGACAAATGCGGCAGCCGGCAAATGTTACACAAATTCGACAAATGTTACACAAAGTATCAAATTAGCAAAATAGATGGATTGGTAAGCTGTGTAAAATGCGATTTTTTCAAAAAAAAAAAAAAAAATATTTTTACATTTTTGAGTTTTGATTCGCTATTATAAATCGCTAGTTTTTCCTAATAATGTTTGTTAATATTACAATTTTTCCAAAATTAATTGTGTTGCTCCCCTAGTCTGTATACAATTGATATTTTCAGGCGTATCAGAATTTCAGAGTGCATCTCAATTGGTATGAATGGAAAAACATGCCGTGTAATCTCTCGTGAGATAGTTATTTTTATTTGAGCTCAATGAAATTTGAGCACTGAAAACAAGCACAAGGCTTATTATAGACAATATTATTTCAATTCTTTGCACATTGCGTGTATTATCTTGTTCAAATTATAAACAGCTTTATCAATTCCGGAAAAAGCAAAAAAAAATCTTGTTTTATAATATATCGCCAAAACGTAGGCATTTCAATTTATTTTTTTACAGATTTTTTTACTGTTGTAATTTACTTAAAAACTAATTTTTTTTTCAAATAATTTTTACACATGAAATGTTTTTTTCGGCCAGATGAATCAGGTCAGCCATATATCGTTAAGAGCTGAAATGGAGTGAAAACAATAAAAGTGATTGTAAGTTATAGTGATTGTAATTATAACCATAACAATCACTTCTATTGTTTTCACTTAATTTCAGCGCATATCATCATCGTTTTCGCTATGCAAGCTTGCTGCAGGTAATGCACTACAAAGGCGTGGAAATCGGCTTTGAACCCAACTAAGCGCAGCAGGATCAGTGATTATCGATTTCGGTTTGTCATAATCTGCACTATTCCAAATTGATTCCAAATTGATTTTTTTCATTTCAGTGTGCAGTGATTTCTTGAAATCATGGACATCGTCATCCCAAATTTCTTTCGATTTTTCAAGAGTTTCGTTCAATTCCAACTCAAATGTTTCTCTTAATGTTATCCATGAATTAACATCAGTGCCGAGCATATTAACCTTTTCATAGTCATGACTTATTTTTTCGTGAGTTCGGTGAACAACTGCAATGCACTGTTCAAAGTCCTTGAAATTATTCTCAATCAAACCTCTAAACGATTCTTTAATATCCGTTAATTCAGGTGAGAACGCATTGTCGATAGCATTTAATGTGCTAGTTTTAAAAAAATTCACCTCTTTAATTACTTGTGAATATTCCACCACATCTATAACACAATTCACGGCTGCACGCGCAATTTCAGCGATGGTCTCCTCGACTATATCATGTATTTGTTTTTTCAAATGTATCGTATTACTAGAAATCGTTTTCAAATTTTCATTCACTATATTCACTGAGTCTTTCAATTTTTTTTCCAAATCTTTGTATAATTTCGTCGATTTTTTTCTAAGAAGTTGGATTTTCTCTAGAAAAAGATCATCTATATCACATTTTCGATGTTCCAACACTTCTGTAATGATGTCTTGAAATTGGTTTTCTACTGCTTGTGTTGAAGCCTCATTTTTAATATACTTGTTGACGGCTTTGTTGAAAATCGCTCGCAATATTTCTTTCTGATAACCCTTCAGTGGAATTATTTTCGCTTTTTTCGTGACGCATTTCGTCATGAGGCAGTTCAAATAATGCAGCATTTCTTCTTTTTGTGATTGAAGAATTTCACTTTTTAATCTCAATTGAGAGAATTGGAGCTTCAAAATTTCAACCATTTCATCCACTTTACCACTACCACATGAGTTAATAATTTTTTGCGCATGATTTCTGAGCAAAGTGAAAACTAGCAATGGTTGAACAGATTTTTTTACTCTACGTCGAAATTTTTTATCACTTTTAGGTTTATTGATGGCCTTTCCCTCAGTCAAACCATTTCCTAATGCTCCTTCAGTCGATTTTGGTTTATTTTGAATATCTTCTAGATTAATGACTTTGTTTGTCATTGTTGTTTCCATTCTTATTAGTTGTAGTTCAATTCGTTGACAACATACGAGTATATTTTCCAAAATAATAACCGTTGCAATTCAATATTATAAGTCGTAGCTAATTAAATGATGTGATTTTTAACGGTGATCAGATGCATACCAAATGTGTATCATTGATTCCTACCTTTTCCCACCAATAAATGTATAAAAATTATGTACAAACTCGAAAGATTCAGCTAGTCTTGAATAAATATTATTTTTTTTGTTTTTATTATTTGATATTCTTTTCACACAAAAAAAATATTCACTTGATAACACAAAATAGAAGCACTGTATGTGACAATATGCAAATCAAAAATGAAAAGAATTGGCAATTTCTTGGTTCATTTCTTAAGTTGCATTTTCTTAATAAAACACAGACAAACATTTTCAAAGAAAACAATTCATAAACCTCGACCTTTTGTACCTTTTACTGTCTACCTGTAACACATTTTTGAATTCATAGATGCTTTTTGGATGAAGAAACTTTCATTTGTTTCATAAATGAGGTCATAGGGCATAGAAAAAATACAATAATTATGATGCCAATGACTTTCATGACATTTTTATGAAACTCATTTTTCGATTCCATAAAATGTAGATTAAAACACAGAACAATCTGTGTAATCTTCTATCTTCTATATCTATAAAAGCAACATGATTATTTATGGGCACACATTCATACAATCGTCACCGTATTCAAATCTGTGTTTCTAAATAAACGCATGCATCTACAATCGTCCCATTTTGCATAACAGAATTTCGGCATTTGACTTTCTCAATGAAAAGTACGACGGACTCAAAGAGTCTTAAAAAATATGCTCTATTGTATCGTTATAATTTATTGAGAATATTACTCGTCATTACCACACATACTCTGATAGTACTTCAGTGACTCCGGTATGAAATGAAATCATTGGTTGTATATTTACTGTTCAGCAGCGTTTTGCTGCTGAATTTCCTGAATTTAGGATGCTGAAAACGACATGCGTTGTGTCGTAGTGCATGTAGCACGCCGGTGCGACTTTACATCTTATTTCATTGCGCCACATATTTCTTCCTCAAAATCAGATAGGCAGCACAAACATACGCGTGCTGTTTGTCTTATTCGATGCGTATGTGTGAGTTGCGTATTTTCCATTTTATACAGTATGTTTCATTATAGAGAGAGGTTGATTTAACTACCACAAATTTCAAATATCCTAAAAATGTTTTTGGTGTTGCCATATGAGACTCTAAGCTACTACGCCAATTAACAATGACAGCTCTCAAATCAGTACAGTGTTTGTTGTGCAACGAAAACATTATTTCCGAACATTTTCATTCACGGTTTGAAGCCGTTTTTCTGCATTTGCATCCAAAAGGACAAAGAATGTCGATCACATCGACTGCTAAATACATTAAAAAGTCAAAAGGGTTCGTAATAAAGTGAATCCAGCAGTATAAGCATGAAAAAAAAGTGAACGACCAGCCCAATCTGAAGCCAAACTGAGCCTCCTCGCAACAGGAAGATAAACGGAGAGTCAAGTTGTTCGATAAAAATTTAGGTATGTTGTTGAGCCAAGGTGTTGAACGGCTACGCCGTCTTAAAATAGAGGTCTCGCGCTCTACTATCAGGAGAAGATTAGATGTTGCCGGTGTTCGTTATCGCAGTAAATTGAAGAAACCGCTTTTGACAGAAAACCAGAAGAAAAAGGCACTGACGGGGCAAAGCAAAATTCAACAAGAGATTGGAGCGAAGTTATATACACTGACGAGTCATTCTTTTGGCTGGTGAATAGCACTACCCATGCCTAGTCTAGAGCCCAAAAGAGAATGGTCGTTCGCACGGTAAAGTATCCGAAAAAGGTGCATGCTTATGGTTGCTTTTGTGAAGCTGGTTTTGGAAAGTTGACCATATTCACGGGGATTCCAAGCGCCGTGAGGATGAACCAACATTATTCATCGACACAGTTACCCATCGCTAAGAAGTTCTATGGCAACCACAATTCGAATTGGCTTCTATTAGAAGACAACGATCCAAAACACAAAAATCGTCTATGCAATGCTTGGAAAGAGGAAAATGACATTAAACAAATGGACTGGCCGCCACAGTCACCCGATTGCAATCCGAACGAAAATTTTTGGGCTATTATTAAGGCATGGCTTCGTGGTAAAACATACCGCAATTTGAAGCAGCTCAGTTCATTCATTCAGCGCCAGTGGAAAGGTTTTCAAAGCGAATATGCTGAAAATTTGAGCAAAAGTATGCCGAATAGATGTGCCTGTGTGATCGAGAAGGCAGGAGAATGGATTAAATATTAATTTGTGGCGCCGTAGCTTAGATACTAAATAGAATGTATATAAAATAATTTTGTAAAACTCTTGAGTTTTATTATAAAAAATCAACCTCTCTCTATAATGAAACATACTGTACACATTGAGAAAGAAACGTATGGCTTGATCTATATTTCTCTTTAGCCCATATGAAATAATATGCAAGCCCTGTTTAATTTTATAATTAATTTAAATAATTAACAAAAATTTGAGCATGTTCCAACCAAATTATTTTTTTCTTCTCAATGTATAATAGAAATCTAAATTATAATAGAAATATTTTTTAAAAAAATGCATGGTATACTTCAGCATTGAAACTCTTTATTTTTCTGAATTACGCTCAAATAATTATATATTATAAAATATTTTGTTTCATTTTTATTCATAAATAATACTTTCTCATAAAAAATATAAAAGCGATAACGCTACATTTTTCATAAATATTAGAATGCATTTAAAATATTTTCTGTAAAAATGTTTTCCCTTCAATAGTTTCTATCTGTTTTGATTGAAATTGCATATTTCAAAAAAAAAACTCCTCTGTTGTTGAGAAAAATCGATGAAATTGAAAGGCATAGAATAGATGTGTCTTCTGTGATGATTTATAAACTAATGAAAACAAAGAATATTGTTGCTACTTCTATCAAATTCACAATCAGAAATTAACAGTAGAAGCGCAATATAACTTAATTAAATGAATGATATTAAACAAAATAAAAATTCGCTTGTGATGTATATTTTTCTTGTAGACTTTAATCTGTGTATTATTATTTTTTTGACACAATAGCACCGAAGTTGGAAAAAAATAAAGACAAAATAGGAAAAAAAAATAAAACTTTATATTATTGCCTCAAATCTGGTTAATGTCAAATATTTTAATATACAGTGCCGATCAAAAGTTTGAGACCACCGATGTATTTTTCATACAAAATAACGTAAAATACCATTTTTTGAGGTTTCGAAAAAAAATATCTTTTTTATTCTCAGAAATCAATGATTTTTGGCATATTGTTTCAATATTTCATGAAGAACAAAATAGTAAATATCTTGCGAAAAATATTCACTGGTTTTGAAATGGCAAGTCCTTGAATTCAATCACAGATGAAAATGACAAATTTTGTATTAAATTAAATTCTTTTTAGCTATCATTTCAAAACCAGTGAATATTTTTTTCTATATATTTACTATTTTGTTCGTCATAAGATATTGGGACAATATGCCGAAAATCATTTATTTCTGAGAATAAAAAAGTATTATTTTTGAAACCTCAAAAAATGGTATTTTACGCCATATTGTATGAAAAATACATAGTAGGTGTCAAACTTTTGATCGACATTGGATTTGATGCTTTTAAAATGCCGAAAATTATATTCGACCATGTTGAAAAGTCGTACGAAACCATTTTCTATTGTAAAATATATTTTCAATTTCACTTTTTTCGCTGTTATTTTAAAAAAATTACGTTTTTGGAAAATAGTTTGTTTGTGTTTTGTTAACGGCGACTGTCTTTATTTTTTTTTTTTTTTTTTTGTAAAATATTTATGTGAAATATAAATTTTGACGACGAACTAAATCATTTCCTATATGTATTCGATAAGTCAACTGTTTTTGTTTTGTATTTATGGACATAAATTATTAATTAGTTGTATGGTTCATGACATTTTTGAAGATGTTTTAAAGGTTTGTAAGCTATCTGTTTTGCAAAGAGACATTTTGAAAAATGTTTTACTGTTTAAATGCATTTAAATGTTTGTACTTTTCATATTGGATCGGTTAAGTATTCGGTGAGAAATAATGTGCTGTGATGTGTCCTCGTTTGTGGTCCATTTTGATTAGTATGCTGTGTGAATGCTTCAGATTCGCTTCCTATATATTTTTCTCGTCACAAATGACGTGCAATTTACGGCCTTGGATAATGTGCAGACAAATAAAGCAAAAGCAACAAAAAGATTCTGGAAAGATAAATGGCAATTAGTATATTTAAAACAAAACGAATTCTCTGAATTTCATTTGTCTTGGGTACTTTTTGCGCATCATTTAAAACGACACCGCTTTAAAAGTATATGAATTACAAATACTAACCAATTTGGCATCGCGAAAAATGTATAAATTATATCCTTCAAAATGTGGTATCATAAATAAAAACTCAAGATGGGAGCGTACAATTGGCATTGAGGAACGTGTTAAGGTAGTTTGCTGATACAAAATGAATTGTTTATTCGTTGAATTTGTTCAATTGGGTTTTAATGCCCTCCACTCCACTGTTAACTGAATTTTTTAAATTTTCCAAGTTTCCATTCAGGTCCTTTTCCTTGATAGCACCGAAATATACGCCGGCTGCAACAATGGCAGCTATCACAAGAACGATGCAAATCACCGACAACAGCATATTCAAAGCACAACTGCAACAGCTAAAATTTAAAAGAAAATTTATTCAACATTTTTTCGTTTTTTCGTTGAAAAAAAAAATTTGTGTAAAAAAAACAATTTGAGAACATTTCATTCAATGCAATGTTGTTTTGGTAGAGAAAATATAAAAAAACATGACATAATATATACATCTGTCTAAGTCGTCGTAAATTATTGTGTCACTTTTTTGCTCTTCTATTTTTGGTGGCATGCCATTTCGCAGAGAGAATACGATGACGATATCATAACATTGCGTGCACTACATTAATGTCACATATCGACACAACCGATACCATTTTTGTGTACCATTTTCTATCAGCCATAATATAATCGGTTTTTTTTCCTGGCAGCTCAACAACATAATACAGACAAGTAAAACTTTGGGTGTGGCACATGAACATTTTTTTTGTGCTGTAAAGAATCTGCTCGTGATAAACAATCCAATTTGTTTTATTGGTGAGGTCAATTTGAATATTTGTTTGTGTCTGTGTCACATCACGGAAACACAACCAAATTAAATTCCCTTGGACCATGCACTAGACTATACCCTAGGTCGGTTTCACATAAACGAAAAAAGAAAACACAGACTATTTTGGGAATTAATTGCATGTACTCCGTACAACAAAAAATCAATCGTCAGCCAGTTCGTCAAGGCACCGAATATAATGGGATCGGTATACATTTTCAATTTGGAATTTTTTTTAAAAGTGGAGATTATGACAATGAATAATTAAGCAAAAAAAAAACGTACAATTAAGGAAAAATGAATGCAAAATTGAGAATATGCTTGAAAAACTGTTCTTGAGTCGAGTTTTTGAAGCAATAGCTAATTAAACTGTTATATTGTGCTATTTCCGGCCATTTCACTAAATATTTCAGTCGGATCTACCGGCTTTCCGGCATATTTTGTTTTCGCTACACACAACTGACATTGAACCGGTTCATTGAGAACACACTTCAGAATATCGTACGGTAAATATCATAACGATTTTTATGCAAATATCCTCGAATAAAAGAAAATCAGCAAATGTTTTCACAAAGCAAATGACTCAATTGCAAAATAAATTGTCCTTGACCTTGGTTCAGTTTCTTTTTTCGCTCGATAATCGTAACGTAAACATTAATGACCGGCATGTGGACATTTGAAATGTATACAAATAGTAGATTTTGTTTCGATTAGAAGTAATATTTGTGTGATTGACCTCAATTGAGTACAGTCCGCTTGGTCGGCATATGAACACCGCCATGAAAGTTTATTGTCCTACCTGGAAAATGTTACATAACAAACTATTTCCCATGATGCATTACGGTAGCATAATTTTTACAACACCACAAAGTTGACCGAATTTCTGGGTATATTTGTTGATTGAACAAAATGATTGTAATTAAAACATCGATTTCAATCAAAAGAAAAGAGGAAGACAATAAAAATGCGATTCGAACGAAGGGCAATCGCACTTTGAATACTGCAGTTGTGCTGCTCTCTGACATTTATAAGTTCAACCCTATGTAAAGACATTGCTTTCCTCTTCTTCTTCATTTGCAAGAAGCATGTGCTTTATAGCAGCTTAACTTTGAGATACCAGGTGGCAGCACATCTGCGTGTTCGAAACCCAATACATTGCTTTAAATGGAGTGCGAGCAGAGCGTGGATTCGAACAATATGAAAAGAAAACCCAAATAGTACACATGCGACGAAAATAGAAATTGACATAGATTCGAATTATTAAAAATTCATTACCTATCCACTTTTACTGCGTACGCTAACGATGAGATAATTATGAATCGATTTGAATGGTAACCGTATGTGAAACGGACATAGTTTGTACTAATTTTTTGGTAATCAATTTCGATTGACTGTACTTCTTAAACAGAGTTTTTCTTCCTCATTTGAGAAATGACAAGAATATTTTCACTGCATACCGTTTATAATTGCAAATAGTTAATTTGTCTATTCGCATTGTCAAGTACTTCAGTGGTGTTTGGCGCCATCGTCTGACTTTCCTCAATTTTGATGCTACGCTTTCTGACATTCCGACGCGTGAATGGAGAATCATTTCAGCATATATTTTTTATTCATAGTAATACTATAATAACTGAGCATCTGAGAAGGGAGGAGATAGAAGACAAGACAGAAAAAAGTTGTTGCAATGGCGCCAGTATTCTTTTGCCGGGCAATTTTGAGCATTGAGTTTGCCGGCACCGGCGACTGGAGAAAATGAAAATTTGCGATGATGTGATCGAATTCAGAAATCAGACAGATTAAGAGCAATTGCTTAAATTTATGTGATTCAAATGTTTGACTGTGCACAGTGTGCCCCATTTAATTGCAAACGAAGAGAAATCGGCGTTCAGACATAAATAGAAAAGAATATAATCGTATCGGATATTGAAATAACATCGTTCGCTTTTTGTCATCGCAATAAATTCATTTCAAATGCTGCTTTCGATTCTCTGCCATTTTTAATGATAGCAAAACATTAAATGAGCAACGAAAATATTTTTCGAGAAAAAAAGATGACTGACGGCTTACAAACCATCGCCAGTAGATTAAATCACAACGATGTATGCAATCAAAATTTACATACTAAAAATGCAATCGTATTAATGAAAGTTTAAAGAGGAATTGCAGAAAAATGGCCATATCACATGCGATTGAGCTGCACTCTGGAGAATTTCTCGTTTAATTAACATTAAAATTGAAGATGTAACAACATGATATATTGTATAACAAGTGGTGATGACTAGGTTATCAAATTAGTATCAATGGGAGCAATATTCACAATGGGTCTGATGTTTGTGTGTGTCCATAGTTGGAGCGGTATTTCGTATCTGTGAAATATATGTGTCATGAATTTCATATGTCATTCGTTCGTTTAGGTATGTTGATGTGCAAGCATGTGGAAATAATGATTGACTAAGTGCAAAACTGAAACAAAGAGAAAATAAACAAAAATACAAACGTTCAACAGTATGAATGAAAATGTCATTTTGTTGTACAAATTGGTTAAAAAAAATCGGCGAATTTGTTTGATCAATTTCTGTTTATCGCATATTTAAGTGCAATTGTTTGTACAAATTTTTATCGCAATGTGATTGGCTGTATATTGTTTTATTTGTTTCACGCGCTTGATTTCATTACACAAAATTTTCGTTTTTTTCTCATCTGTTGGCCATTTATGAAAAGTCATGGCATAATTCATTCGATACAAAGAAAGAGAGAGAAAGAAAGAAAAAGAGTGTGAAGAGTAAACCGCATTGGCTTACACTTCACTAATGAAGAGTGGGATCAAAGCCACTTCGAACCATCCTTGAGCACTTACTTATATTACGAACTGAACGATTTTCATAATTAAATGTATCTAACTATTAACACTATGGCCTATTGGCATATTAATGCGACTCATAGAAGCCACTCATTGACTTTTTGTGACTTCGAAAAAAAAAACACATATTCATAATTTATCGAAGTGTTTTTATTTTTCTAATAAAAACTCATCCATTTCATACGATCTCTCATTATATATCACTTCGAATGAAAATAAATGGTTCGAAACGAAAAAGTCGCTATCTTGTTACAAACACAGAAACGTATTGCTCTTTTACATGAAACCATTGATGTCAGCGAAATGACAGTGACAATTGTGATAAATCATTTACAACCGCTACTATATTGATCATATCGAATACTTTCTTTGGAATTATTTCACTTCCATTCGAAATTGTACCAGATATCAGTAAAATATTATGAACACAGACTCAGTAAGCTGAAGGGAAAGACACGTTTTGTTCTTTTTTAGTTTTTCCAATTTCCAAGATTATGTCTACCGCTAGAGACATAATTATAAAAACCAAGGGTCAGCCCTGACTGAAAACGATTGACATCCCAAAACTACAAAAACAACAGAGACTGCGTGAGGCACAAAAACGGATTGATACATTTAACTTGAAACGTTTATTGTATCGGAATGTGAGCACAAATTAACGAAACTCTTACTCTCAAACACATCATAACATTTTTAACTTGAAAGAAATATCAAAAAATAGTAATTTTTATAAATTGCGCAAATATACCAACTGAGTGAACAATTTTGATAAAGTATAAGGTTGAGTTCGATGCACATGGCTCACTTCTACGTTACAAATAAAAAATAAATTATAAGATAAAGCTATTATTTCGGTTTTCCCTTTGTAATTGGATTACTTTTGCAACGAAATTAACTCGAAACTAACTCAATTCAATTAAAAATGGAACACATTCATTTTCTATACCGATTTTTTTTTTAAATTAAATATATGTTCATGCTACGTCGAAAGTTCGGTACTTTCTTATCACAAAAACAAACGTTCCAAGTGTACGTTTAGTCATCGAAATTACAAACAATTAATTTTGATTCATTTCGTTTATTGTGTTTGTTTTTCTTTCGTGACTTACAAAAAAAAGCAATGACTCTTGCATCAATATCACGTTCGAACGATGAGCTAAGATAGTATTAGTGATGTATGGACATTTAAAACACTGTACAAAGAATTGAAGGCACAAAATTCAAATTAAATGAAAATTTACTCCAAAAACGCGAAGATCATTGACCGCGCATCATTCTCATTGGAATCGGTGATTTGTAAAAGGGAAAATGTTGATTGAAAAACAAATGATGGCTGTTTTAAATTTAGTTGCATAAACTATAGATTAGAGATATATCTGTTAGAGAGTCGATCTACTAGACTCCTTTCTCTGGTCTGTGTTTTTCAAAAACCACAAGTCTTAAATTGTTGGATGCAATTAATATAACAATAACATTCCGTATAAAGAAAATCGTACATTGATTGCACTGCGAGATAAATGAAATCGAAACAACAGAGAATATAAAATAAAAAAAACCATAAAAAACACCAACATTATTGTTTGATGCTCTTTTTAAAACAATTGTCGTCCACATAATGCAACAGTGAGTGAGAACCTGTTTGAATGCAATGCAATTGTTACAGTTGCATGTTCACATTACTAGTCGTCGTTTTATGAATAATTTCGTTGTTGGATAGATCGATTTTACTTACCAGCATGCAACTTGGCCAGCTAAACACTTGCACATTGTGATTTTATAACGTTTTAAATTACGGACAAAAAACAAATTGTATTGAATTTAAAAACTTTTGTATCTGTTATTCCGTTTAGACTTTTGTACAGTTGATGCGTTGAATATCACACAGTCGACTGTTTATCCAATTTAATTCAATGGGTGCAGAGTCTTTTTTATTATTCGGCTTTTTGCGACGCTTTCCAACGTCGACCTTTTTTTTCTGTACGCCGTGACTGAACGGTGTTCGAACGAATACTAAATAAAAACAAAATATGTGTGCGTTGCTAACATGAACGGCCGCCGTACTCAATATTGTCTGTGCTGTGAGTGTATAAGTCTATATCTCCCTCTTTCTCGTTGTGTACATGCTACTTATGTGCGTACAAACAATTCATACACTACCGGAACGCTGTATATTTTCTCATGTATGCAATATCATTTTTGCCTCTTCGTTCTGTGTTCGTGCATCGCACAACAGACACCATTTGAACACATCAAACAATCCATCCATTTAGACTAAATCTCATGTGAATACAAAACACATACTATTGCATCCACTAGCTCACTGTATCCATTGTTATGTATTCTATATTGGAATGTCGATACGATTTCGTGCAACAAGCGCGTTTATGAATAGATTTTCACCCAAAAAATACGTGCCGCTTGAATTTCAGTTTTGTTCTTTCCATGCAGCAAACGTTTTTTTTTCTTCATGAATTTTTATCGAAAATAACCAAGTTTCCTGTATTAAAAAAAATCGGAAATTATTTGATAGCGACTTAATAAGTCCGGATGTACTTTGTAACACGATGTATTCTCAATACCGATTAAAATTCGGTTAATTTGAGCGATTTGAAAGTATGCAAATAATTTGGATTGAATTTCTTCAATTTTAACCAAAATCCATTGAAATTAATATTACCAATTGTTCAGATTTGCAACGTAATTTGTCGTTTGCCGTATGCATTGCCATTATCTAATAACTATTTGTAAATGATATTTATTTGCTCTTCATTTCATTTATCTGTTGATAACCATACAAATGCTAATAACAATTTACATTCAAGTGTTTTGAATTGTGCGATATCGTTTGTTAAGTAAAGCAATAAATTAAATGAAATAATAAAATTAAAAACAAAAATCGTCATTAGACACTTTAGAATTATCAAGAACCATTGATTAAGCCAAGACTTGAAATGCCCTTCATTTTTCTTATTGATAAGCATTGTTATTAAAAAAAAAGCAAAAATATAAAGTAGATACTTCATCTGGTGGGTGTGTATATGAGGTTATTAGGTAAATTAACATGATTTGCAATAAAAAAAGCGATTCAACATTTATTAAGGTAAATAAATAAAATTATAATTTTTGAATAGATTTCACCTATAATAATCTCTAGTAGTTTATTTTCACTATTTCTCAACTTAGCAATTTCTTTGAGCTTTTAAAGATCTTTGTTTTTTCCATTCCTAATATTTTATAATTTAGCGTATCTTTAAATTGGTCCGAGTCTGCATTTCGAATGTGAACATTTTGATATCAGACCAAAAAGATCAATCGTTCCATATTAGTCCAATAATTTCCTTTAGTAAAACAGATCAATTATTTTTAGCCATTTAAGTAACATGATATGAGTACAAATAATATTGCAATGCTACTTCAATGGTTAATTGCATCCGAAACATTTTAAAGCATAAATTATCAAAAATTGTTATTTTTGAAATAATTGTATTTGTGTATTAAATATGTACACAAAGAGATATTTTAATCAACACTTTGATCAAATTTTTTAAATTTTTTTGAAAATCGAAAAGAATGTTCACAATTTACTTATCAAATACAAAGAAAATACTGTCCAACTAGCCATTTTAAATAAAAATCGTAGCAAAAAGATGAATTGAAATAATTTTAAAAATTTATTAACAATAAACGTATTCGATTTGCATGAATTTACAATTTTCGTTTTATTTTCTTTTAAATTAAACTATATTCTGTTCTAACATTGGCTCTTGCACCATTAGTCTATCGAAATTGAGTCGACTTAAATCGATGGTTGTGAATTCACCGTGTACAATTAATTCGGAAATGGCACGACCAACAGCTGGTGCCTGTTGAATACCATGCCCACTGAATCCGGTGGCAAAGAAAATATTATGATAATATGGATGCAATCCGACAATTCCATTTTCGTCAAATGTATTAAATTCATAAAAACCAGACCATGCCGATTGAACTTTTGCATTTTCAAATGCTGGTATACGATGGGCCAAATGCGGCCAAATCATTTCATCAAAATAATTATAATCAACATCCATATTCTCACAGGATGGTTCATCTTCAAGGGATGGACTACGTCCGACTAAATAATTTCCACCCAATCCATCACATCGAAAATATGTACTCGTCTTTGGATCGATTGTCAGCGGCGAATTAAACACTGGCTTATTTTCACCTTGTGATTTTATTGTGTACACATAACGTTTTCTGTAAATGAAATGAAATCAAAAATGGTTTCAAATCGATCAAATTAATAATGAATGATTGTGTACCTTGGTTCGACGGGCAATGGAACCGATAGCATACCGTTGCCCGTACCAATTCGCAAAAGTTTCGCCAAATGTCCTGACCAAGCACCAGCTGCAACTATACATGTGGCAAATGTAATACGTTTTACTTCACCGGTATTCAATTTAACAATGACATGATTTGTGGATTCATATTCGCCATCTGGTACGCCTTGAACGCAAATGTTTTCATTGTTTTGAAATTCAAAACTGACTGCTTCGCCGTTTATGTATTCAGCGCCCATACTTTGTGCTTTGTGTTTGAAGCCCATTAGTAAACTCCATGGATCGAACCAACCTTCTTTTTCCAAACCAAAACAACCTGTAATCAAAGCAAATAATACCATTTTGTAAATTTTGCAATTTTTTTCAAAAAAGAACATTGAAGAAATTTACCCAAAGCAATATCATCAACATTTAGCCAAGGAAATCGATCTTTTAATTTTTTTCGTGAGAGCAATACATTTTTGGCACCTAAACGATTTTGTAATGTTGAATTCTTTTCCAATTGTTCGGCACCCTCTTCGGTGGCCAAAAATAAATAACCGTGTGGTACAAAATTTACATTCACATGATCGCCCAAATAATGTTTTGCATTTCGTAAAAAGTCGGCCGCATGTAATGACATCAAAATATTTTCTTCCAGTGAAAATTGTTGACGCAAACCACCGACGGACAGTGTGGTTGATGCTTTTTCATATGAGTTATCTTGTTCGAGGACGACAACACGAAGTCCATCACGTGCTTTATCCTTTAAATGATAGGCAATCGATGATCCGATTGCACCGCCGCCGATAACAACAATGTCGCAATGCGATGGGAAAAATTGTTCTTCGGGAAAACCGTCCTCTTCACCAAGCAATGTATGCTTCCACATTTTTGCATTTTCACGTACCGATTTATCATTCATTCCTGGTATATACTTTTTTAGTCGCATAATATCCGCTTTCAATATGCGATGCGTTCGTTTAATTGGATCTTCAGGTGGCGGCCCTTTCAATGAACTTGAATCAATAACTTTCCAATCTTCGAGCTTCTTTGGTGTTTCCTCTGACGATAAATTGTTTTGATTCACAGATTTATCCTTTTTATGGCATAAACATCGTATAGTTTGATGGAATTGCCGTGATAAACGAGCAAATGGAGCACGGGATAGAAACATTTTTAAATGAATTTTTTTTATTTAATTTTACATTTACACTACACAACGGTCGATCTTGTTTTGCAATTGATAATGTAGTTTTTCTGATTCTTATAGCAAATTAACTGTGCAATGATTTGATCTGATAATTAAATGAAATCAATTGTCACAATTATCGCTGTTGACTCTTGTCATTTATTTATTGTAATAAAAAGGAGTTATCTTATCATTGTACAAGTTCACAATTGTTTCTTTTTCTTTTAGATAAAGATGTTTGGTTATTGATACCGCAAATGTCACATTCGCACATGAAAAACAACACACACGCATACACATATTGTGTTTGAAGTTGACAGATTCAAAGTATGTAAATAAAGTGAAGTACTTAAGGAATGGAAAAGGCACCAAAGTCATTTTTTCAATGAGTTTCATTTTGATAGTAAATAAGCAAAAAAGGGTAAATTCCATAAAAAAAAGATCGATCCGATGCTTCCGAAATAATAACAAAAAAAAAATGATGAAAGAAATCGAAAACATGTCCATTAAGAGATTTGTTGAATATAAAGTTAGGTGGATTTGAAAGAGTTTGTGACTTCGATACTTTGTCACATGACTCAAAGATGTCGCTGTATAAAAGCTTCGGCGAAAAACTTCTTTCTTTCAAACAGTTTACTTTCTATCGTCTTTGATTTTGAATTCGTTCTAACCGATTTTTCTATCGTTTTTTTGTTGTTTGCTGTACTCTTCACTAACGGCTTCGGCATTTTTCTTCATTCGCTCCAATGCATATTGTATGACAATGTAGACTCTGTAGTAGTGAAATCAGTAGGAAAATCAGTTGAAATATTCATAATATAATTCCAATGCATGCTTCTATCTGCATACCTTCAGACACAGTTCGTTTATGTGAAATGAACATTTTTTGCCATCTTAAAATGAGCAATGATTTGCATATCGATGGCATAGACATTATTTTCAAGATAAAAAGAAGGGGCCGACTAAAATTACTTCCTTTATGTGCTAAAATTTCGATGTCCGATTCACATGAAAAATATCGTTTTTTTTTCTCTTTCAAATGTTGTTTTGACTCAAGAATAGAAATGTCAACAAAAGGAGTAAAAACGAGTTTCCATTCCCGCAATAGAAGAAGAAAGAAAAAAAAACTGGATAATGAATTCACATAACTAGCGATTCATTTCATCACTCGATTATGTCTGGCGAAATATTTTGTGAGAGAAAATATGAGAAAAAAAAATCTTCATTTTCTACTGTCTATGCGGCAATAAAAGAGTTGTGCTTATGTGTGGTAATACAAAATGTGTTTTGTTCCTTTTTTTTGTAAATTTAGATTCCATCAATCTTTATTTAAAATCCATACACTCAACAAAAGAATCACATTTTACACAACAAAGACTAAAAACCGATTTGGTTGATTGCTTCATCGTTTTGCAATCTCTTTTTTTTCTATTTACCTTAACTCTTTCTCGTTCCTACTTTTGCATTCTTCTAAAAAAAAGGAAACAAAGAGGAGAAAAAGCATTTAACAAAGTTTCAATTCACTTTGCATGATCTTTTCCATCGTTAATACCGAAAATGGTTCAACGTAATTATGTGCCAGCACACATGGTCCACGAAAAACTTTGTGTCCACACTAACAATGTTCAGCTCTTGTAAGTCCGAATGGCAGAACGAGATGCATAATACAAAAATAATGTGCTAAATATAGATAAAAGTAAGTAAAAAAGGGTTTGAATCACCCATTGTAGCAGTAATAATAACTAGCTGCAGCAGAAGAAGACAACCAAGTCTCTTAAAATAGTTTTTCGTAAACAGTAATTCATAGAAACTGCAACCGGAATGAAACAGCAAACAGGAATTCAATTGAAGATACTCGTTTTGTTCTTTTCATACTTGTTTTTTTTTGGCAAAAGACCGTCACTGCTGTATGGCCAAATTCATTAATGATAGTTTCTGTGGACAGGCGGGAAATGTTGCAAGAATATAATATCTTTCAGCGGTGCAAAATAGATTTTCTCTGCTCATTTTATATAAGAAATGAATTTAAATTATGTAAGAGAGAGAGAGAGAGAGAGAGAGAGAGAGAGAGAGGTAAGATGAGGTATTGATTTGGTGTAAAATAATTTTAAGAAAACTGGCAATGATGCCGATATTGCATCGTCGAGGGGGAAACTTGTGACTAAGTAAAAAAAGCATAAGAAACCAAATTTAACGATTGTACATTCAATCTTTTTATCACCTGAGTGTTGGAAATTGCGTAGAAAATGCTCGAATCAATAGACAAAATGCAGCTGAGGAAGTGATTTATACGATAATGGTCAACACAATGAAATAAAAGTAATGTTCAAATTTCAAAACTGACTAAAGCGGCTATTGGCTGTGACCGTTGTCAATTTTCGTTTTCTTCCTCTTCTTCTTCACGGCGATCTAATTTTTTTTTTGTTAGCTAATATTACGAGGATGACGATACAAAAATCGGTGCTGGGAACAAAATACCAATGCTGTTGAATAAAAAGTCGATGCCCTTGCCCTTTACCAAACATATCTTTGTGTTGTGTGTGTGTGTGTGCATGTTTTATTCAGTCGCATAATTTAAAACAAACCGAGATTGAGAGACTCACGGTATGTGAATCACCGTGAGTAAATCGAATAGCAAAAATTACACAACATAAACGTACCAAAGACGACGAAAAAAAAATTGAGGGAGAATAAGAATGAATGTGATTCTCGGCTCAGCGCCAGCCATTCATACATGCTCTCACACACACACATGCATGCATTCGGTGCGATATAGACCCTTTGATACTTTTGTTGCGCTCAGTTTCATTTCACTTCAATTAAATATTACATGAAACAAAGTCAAGCGCAATAAAACTGCAGAGCGCACGGCATACACACGAACACACACACACACACACACACACACATCTAGCTAAAACGGTGTAACAATGGAACAGCTGCATAAAAATGCCTTTATCCTACAATTGAAAATGTAGAATGAAGAGAGAAAAAATGACGACAGAAAAAGTCGTAATAATAATAATAATAAAAAGAAGAAGACGAAGAATTAAACCGGCAGAAATACCAACAAAAAATGTCGACGCTATCAAAGTAAGCAATTTGAAGGGGAAGAATTCTACGTCTAATATGGTGGTTTAATATATAATTATTGAAATAAAAAAAAATCCGTATGTCTCCTTTACCGTTCAATTGTAGTGTGTGTTTTTTTTCTCTCTCTCGGTATACTCGATGTGTTCGACTGATTCAATATGTGTCTTTCAAAAATGTTCGATTTTTTTTTGTTTGATGCAAAAGGTTCAAACAGCCACAATGATTGGTATACAATTTGAAAATATCAACAAAAATCGAAAAACAGCCGGGCGGCATGGAAAATAGCGGGAAAACGAATATCAGTTTATTATGATGCCGCCGATTGAACACAGTACCAGTATCATTTGGACATGGCATATAAATCATCATCGATGGTGAATAGTAGCAATCATAGATTCGATTTTCGCATTCAAACACAACATTGCATTGGCTGATATTCTTTTCATTTTCATCTCATATGTGTGACAACAAACATTCGCAATACGTTGTAACGGTTTGTTGCTTATTCCTTTGGCCAAATAATCTTCAGATCGTGGTCGAGATGATGACGATTCGTTATATGGCATTCTCTTCTCCTTGTCCTTATTTCACATTCGTAAACAGAAGCTCAACCGGTATTCGCATTCACGCTGTCATTGTCTCGTTTTGTTAATGCCATTGCACAAAAGATCTTTCACATAAGTCGATGGACGAAGGGTTCTTTAATTCTCTCTCTCTCTTTCTCTCTCTCTCTGAGTGTTTTTTGTTTCTTCTTTCGTTTCTTATTCTTGTTTTCTGTCTCACATTTTCTTTATACTTAATCATACTCTCTGTTTACCAGTCATTCGCCCTATTCAACAGCCCATCATTCGATATATTTCAGAAATTGTTTTGTTAATGATGGAACAGCAACAGTTTGGTGTGTGAGCATTGCGTACATACTATTCGCATGCCCTGTCTTTCACAGCTGCTTAACCAATACAATCATCTATTACAATCTGTGTGCGTGTGTGAGTATGTTTACGATGATGATGGTTGAACGTTTTTCGGGGTTGTTGGTTGCATGAAAAATACAGTGCGCGTCAGTAAAGTTCTAAATGAGCACGCATTCGCATTACGTGCGTATTTGATTTTAAGCGCATATATTTTCAAATTGAACAAAAATCAAAAAACGGTTACAACATGAATTAGACGAGCGTCGCAAAGAGACAATTTTCTTTTTTTTTCAGCTCACCCCGGGGATCGCGTTTTTCACGTCGAAAATTTCGAAATAAATTTTATTTAAAGTGAAAATTTTAATTATATATATATTATTTTTTTTCGGGAGAAAAAAAAATCACTTTATACCTTAAATCTAACATAAAGTGAAGTGTTTCCATCTATAATTATTAATTGTTTATTATATTGAATTCGTTTTGTTTTGTTTCGTACTTGTTTTTGCAACTGTTGAATTGCGTCTCAGTTTATTTCTTTTTTTGAAAATATCAATATATCGTTATTATTATATTCCAACAATTTATCAATAAAAAAGAAGTGTACGCTATATTGAGTTTGTGTGAAATTTTTTAAAAAAAAAGTGTTGAACCGCCAATTTTGAAAAGGATTTTTAAAAATATTAAAAAAAAAAACAAATTGGTTATTACTATCGAACGTTAATTCAGGATGTCATTTTCAAAGGCAAAACTAAAGCGATTTAATGAAGGTATGTGCAAAACAGAATTCAAATGGAAGAAAAAGTTTTGAGTGTAAAGACAATATCTTAAAAAAAAACGTAAATTAGTTCTTTATGCCATAAGAGCCAATTTGGTGTCGAGTATGTGTGCATGTATGGAAAGTAAAAAAAAAACGTTAATGAAAGTGTACGATCGCTGTCGTCATATGGACATGTTGTGCCATGTCTTTAGGTTTTTTTTTTCTCGTGTTCGACTTGTGTTCGATGTCGTGAAGAATATAATTAGATGTCGTCACGGTTTGTCTACTTTCTCATTGTTTCCTTCCGCGATGCGTACCAACTGCTGTGACTGTTCAATTTTGATGCGGCAATAGAGGGTCATATTGATGATGTTGGCTGTGGTGGCTAATTTAACTACACATTTTAAACGTTCTATTCGACTGCATTTTATAATGCAAACGAATTAAATCTTCATTCGGTTGAATTTTTCTTGAGTCGAGTTCACTTAACTCAACTTCAGTTCGAACAATACCAACGATCGAATATGGACAATGTTCCCTTAAAACAATTACCATAGATCATATCCCTAACATTTGATTCGTAAAAGTTGTTCGTTTGATTTCCGCCTCAAAAATCATGTTCCGTTGAATATTCGTTTTCGGTTTCTTGATTTATGTTTTGCCATATATCCGCCTTTATGTGCCATTGTTTATGGTGTGCGCCACAATAAAAACGAGATTTTAACGGAAATCGATGCCAACCGAACGGAAATTGAATAAACTGCCCAAAACTTTCACTATCTCTGTCTGTCACTGAGTGGTTGCTGAATGTTTCTCACTTTATCTCTCTTGTGTGTGTTTGTGTTTATGTATGTGTTTTTGTGGCTACGCAGCAAGTACAATAAAATGATAAATTGACTCCTGGCACTGCTCATTGCGTATCCATATTTTCACCGATTTTCGATCATTAACATACCACACGAACAAAGAGAATGAGATGGGAGAAGTGCGTGTGTGTGTGTGTTAAAAAATTCGATTTCATTTTTATCGACCTTTTATTCACTTATGTTATTCTAATTGCAGTAAGCGATTCACCATACAGTGACCAAAAAATGGAGCGTAAAGATAGCATCCGTCGCTTTTTGCGCGAACAATTCCGTGACGATAAGAAAAAAGAGAAACATGAAAAGGAAAAGGAAAGCAAAGAAAGTAAAGAGAATAAGGAAAATATTGCCAATTCGAATGTACCATCGACTGCATCGACTAGCTCAGCATCAACGGTAGCGGCTGAAGTGAAAGCATCCAATACGGACACAAAGAAAGAAAGCAAAAGCAGTGCTTATCGTCTATTCCGAACTGTAAGTCAGATTTTTTTTTTCGTTGTCTCAGAACAAAAATAACCTTATACTCGGATTTTTTCATGCATTTTTTTAAAACGGTTGAGCTGTTATATTTTTTTCCTATAAATTGAAACAAACGCAATAAAATCTTTGTAATACTTTCAGCCATCACTTCCACGTCGTTTGCGTTTCAATCGTCAACATTCCGATTTGACGCCATCAAAGAAAGGATCGATAACCGCGTTGAAGGAGAAGGAAAAGGAGGCCATCGATGTGGCCAATGAGGATATCAAAGCAAAATCAGAGCAAATTGCTGAACAAACTGTATTGATTACAAACTTACGCGAAGAATTGACCCAATTGAAACAATCAAATTTGGATAAAACCGAATCGATTGTTGAGAAACAACGTGAAATCGAAGATTTACAAGATGAGCTCAAGAAAAATGAAGAGGCACTAAATCAATTGAGAGCACTGGATGCCGAACATTTGGCCAAAATAAATGTGCTTGAGGGTGAGATCAAGACGATCATACGCGAACAAGATGAAGAGATGAGTAAATTGGTGCAGAAAAACACCAATCTCGATGTAAAATGTGACAAATTATCGGCACAAAATCGTTCGCTTGCCGATGAAATAAAGTCACTAAAATCCGATATGGAACGGTGTCGCGATGAAATCGAAAGTCATAAATTACAATTGCAAGAGGAAAAAGAAAAGTGGCAAGAAAAAGACACCGAATTCCGTAAGCTATTGGATGAAAATGTTCAATTACTTGAGGGCATTGAACGTATTAAGAAACAATCCGATGACGATATGCTTGGCTATGCAATGGAAAGTCAAAAATTGATCGATGAATTGGAAACGGTTAAGCGTGAACGATCGAAAATTATCACCGAATTGTGTCGCAAAGAGGAGCTATTGAATGATTTGCAAGAGGAATTGGGTGGAAAAACCGTTGAAATGGATGCTGAACGTGATGAAATCAAGGACACCATGAATTGTGAAATGAATGCGATCGTTAAAAAGCATGAACAACAAATTGCCACATTGAAAGAGGTGCATGAAATGAAAATCAAAGAATTGGAATCGATTTCGGTATTGGAACAATCTAAAATGATTAAAGAACATAAAGAAGCATTATGCAATTTTAAAGAGGCCAACGAAAAAGAACGTGCACGTGAACGTGAATTGGCCGAAGAGAAAATTCGTATTGCCGAAATTCAAGCTGAACAAAAATTAAATGGTATGGACGCAACAATTGATCAATCGATACAACAGGAGAAACAAATTTGGCGCATGGAAATTGAAAAATGCCAAAAAATTGCCGAACACGAAGTTATGCAATATGAATATGAAAAACGTGATCTCAAAGCACTGTTGGATTCGGCCAATGATTTGATTCGTGAAAAAGATGAAAAAATTGATGAACTACATAAGCAAATCCGTAGCGATATTGCTGAATATGTAAAAAGTCGACAAGAATTGGACAGTGAAATTGAAGAGACACAACGTGAATGCACCCGTCTATTGTCCGATCGATTGAACTATCAAATGGCATTGAAAAATCATCAAACAACAATGAAAATTCTTGTGGAACGTCTTAAAAAATCCGATCAAGATGTGGAAATTTTAAAGGCCGAACTTGATACGGTGATTGCATCAAAGCTTGATGTTGAAGCCACCAATTTGAAATTGGTGGAAGAGGTGCAAACGCTATCGATGGAAGTCGATGAATATCGTCATGCATTGACCGCATTGCGCAATTCATCGGTTAATTTGGAACGTGAAATGCATGAAAAGGAATCGGTTTATGAGAAAATCATGAGCTCTGAACAGGAAACACTCGAAACGGTCAATAAAATTGGCAAACTATTGAATGACAAAGTCGAAGAGAATATCAGCAAATATGCTGAATTGTATAATGACATCAAAAATAAGTATGACATTCGTGAAAAGTATGTTAAAGAGGTGACAACATTGATGGAAGACCTTGGAAATGGCATTCAATTGGCACGATATGAATTGGACATGAAAGAAAAACAATTGCTCGAATTGCAAGAGGAAAATAAAAATATTAAACTCGAAATTATGACATACAAATTTAAATGCGAACAATTTGAAAAATATGAACTGGAACAACGTGTACCAAATCCATCGCCAGAATTGGTTAATGAGCTTGAAAATGATTGTGACAAATTTCCCGCAATGACCGCTGATGATGCAATGGTTTCAAATCAATTGATCGAAAATATTATCGTACAATTGGAAAAGGAGGCACAAAATGAAAGCATCAAAAATGAAATGAACACCGAAATTTACAGCGATGAAGACAAAATTGCCGCCGAAAATTTACAACTTAAAGAAAAACTCGTCGAAAAGAATCGACAAATTGAATTTTTACAAGAAATGGTCGAAATGGAAAACGTACATGCCACCGAAAATATTTCACTCAGACACAAGGTATGGCCATTTATCTCACAACTTTTTTTTTTCTTGCAATTTCAATTGAATTGAAGATTTATCGGTATTTTTTTCTTTCTTTGGCTATAGGTTAATGAATTGGAGCACAAAGTTCAGTATATTGAACAATTTGCAAATGAAACCGTTGAAAAATACCAAGGTTTGGCCAGCCAACAACAAAATCGCCAACAAATCGATGAACTCAAAGAAAAGAACAAACAATTGAAGAATGTAAGTTTGAATGCAACATTTTATAAATTTCAAAATAGTCTTCTTTCTTTTGTAATATTCTTTTACGTCAATTAATCGAAAATCGCAATTATTTTGAATTTCTAGAAAATCATAAGTTTGCAAGATGCAAACAAGGAGAATGAATCGACCATTGTGGAGCTGAAGGAGAAAATTCATACTGGTGCTGATCGTACACCATTGAAAATGAATCGTTCGTTTAGCAATATCAATATGAATACGCCACGTACTCCAAAGACGCCAAAAACACCAGCGGCACTGGCTGGCAAAGAGAATTCACCAGCAACATTAGTGTTGAGTCCATTGCGAGTACGGAACAATTGAGTCGTGTCCAAAACCATCAACGAAACTATGGCAACCACTATGCCAAACGCGCTCTACAGCGTACTTTCCCCATTTAATTTATTTCAGATAAACTATTTTAGAGGCTAAATGTTTTGCTGTTTTGTGTTAAATCCAAATCCGTAATGTTTTTTTAGAATTTTTCTCGCATTTATTTAAAAAAAGAACAGAATAATTTATTTGACGCATTTTTTACAAAAAAAAAGATAAAATATTTATGGGACAAATTAATTTTTTTTTTTGAAAAATCATTTCGTTGTATTGTTACATTTATACGCCGAACATACCACAATATTGTTCTCAATTAAAGTCCAAAAGCATCAAGAAAATAAATAATTATTAGAGAGGGAAAAGAAAAATTATAGAATAATTTAGATAATATTTGGTATTATAATAATCGAATACAAACCATTTGATCACAATGTCAGGATAAAGAGTCAGACCTATTGTCGAAATGTAAACAACTATTTGTCAAAAAGTGTGGGAAAACAATGAAAGAGAACAACAACAACAAAAATGTTCGTTACTAAATTTTTCCATTTTATTTTTCATTATTCTGATTAATTATAAACAATAAAAATTAATTTTAAAATTACACAAAAATATACATATGGAGTTTGTTTTTTTAGCAACATCGACGAATATATTTATACGCAGCGGTTTTTTTATAGCAACATCAATAGGTTAAAGTGTGTTTTTTTGGGTGTTTTTTACTCTCTGATGTTTTTAGTACATAGGTTAGTCAATGGTGTGTGTGTTTGAAAAAAAAAGTATTTTCCAATTGTTATTCGATGAATATGCATACAGTTTTTGCCTAACCATTATTATTGTTGTGTTTTTGTATGCAGCGATAAAGTTGTACATCGCTGAAGTTGCACTCTGTCTCTTTCTGATGTCAGATTTTTATAAATAAAATAATTTAATTTTGGCTCATTTTATTAAATGCAAAAAAAATTAAACAAATCACAATTGAACTAAAAAAAAAGAATTGAGCGATTAAATTACGGTTCGCCAAACAATGAACGTACGAGCGTGTGCGAACACACACACTACACATACATGAAATGAAAATCCATTATTTTCGATATACCTTGTGTTTCATATAAGTATCTGGAGATTTTCAAAGAATCAGATACGTGAAATCTTCAAAATCGATTCCATGCAAGGTTAAATTTGTGCCAGTAAAAAATAAATCTGTTTTGTGATGTGGACAAAATACAAAATCTTGTCAACGACAAAATTGATTTCGATTACCAAATTTGGTCGGATGGCGTATCTGTATAGTTTTTATACAAAAAATCAAGAAAAATAATATCGAAATACTGTCAATGTATGAAAATGAACAGTTGATTAATGCCGTTGGAAATGACCCGAGCGATCTCACTTGAAACTCTTCGGTGTGAAGAGATTTGGAAACCGTTGAAGAGATTTTTCACAATGAACGTTTATTCTCGTTTTTATTCTCGATTTGTTAACTGAATTTGTGCATATTTAGAAAATGGTATCATTGTGAATGCGATACAAGGTGGTCGAAAGGCCGAGATAATCACCCGATTGTTCAAATTCGAGGTGTGAAACATTGAAAATGACTGAAATTACACACAAATACGGCTCCAAATTTTGCCTCATAATCGATGATTTTGCGTTAACAATTGTTTCTTGTTTTTTTTTTGTTGTCTAGTTCATATTAATTTCACTCTCAAATAGTTTTTGTGTACGTCCATTGATTTGTTTGTTTGTTCTCGAATAAATTTAAAATGATTTATGAATTGTATATTGGTTTGAATCGAAAATTCTATTTCAGCATTCTATATTATAATTAATACTTGCAAATGAAGCTGACCGGTCAATTTATGTAAATGATCAAATTTGCGCGAACGCATACAATCATTGTAATTTAACGTAGTTTTTTTTTTTTTTTTTTTTTAATTTTTTTTTTTTGGTTTTTTTTTTAAATTTTCGTAAAAAAAAAAAATATTTATATTTTAATTTTTTTTTTTTTTTTTTTTTTTTTCAATTTTTCTTTGTCGGTTTTTTTTCTTCATTATCCTAATAAATAAAAATATTAACTATAGGTTTGTTCATTTGATTTTCAATTGAATTGATTGTGTTTAAGAAACCCATTGCAAATTCGTAACGCCATAATTAATTTTAAGCGAATAAAATCCATCGTCTCATTAAGCAATAAGTATTAGAATTACAAATTTTCTTTATTTTCTGTACTTTTCAGAATAATTTTCTGTACCTTTTTTTTCGTGGCTTTTTTTCCCAAAGTTTTTTTTTTCTTCCGCGACAATACACATAATATATAAAGTTCTATTAATGCAACATTTCATATAATGTTAATAAAATGGATAAAAATCTACTATTTATCAATCGTCTAGAAAATAGAGAAGAAAAAACACAGACACATTTTTTTACATTCAATGGCATTTCGATATGAATTCGTAATAAGTGTGTCCGATTGTGTAAAATTGCGGTGCACTTTGATTCCCATTTATGTGATTCGTAAAAAAAGATGAAAAAAATCGACGAAGACGACACAATTTGCACAATTAAAATCTCATTTGTTTCGAATGGCATATTCGATTTGGCACCAACCTTGATTTGTAAAATTGGCTTGTGACCACACGATATATCGTGTCGTGCCTTCATTGACCCATGTCCATTGATCCACTGACATAATCCTTTGGATGAATTACAACAACAATAGAGAAACGAAAAAAAATGGAAGCCAGAAAAATTCGTATTCAAAATCGAAATATAATATTCGATATTGCATTTCTATACATTACAATATAATATACATACAAAGCACTACAGTAAAATTGAAGACATAAATATTGCTTGAAATTGAATTGAATGAATGCGATTTTTTCCTTATTACACTTTGTATGATCTATTTTGGCGTTTATTTTTTTTTTTTTTTTTTTTTGTTAAACATTGACTCCTTCTTAGGAGTCTCTGTTGCTTTGCACTCTGGTTGCGCAATACGATTTTTTTTTCTTCGTTCTTTTGTCGCTGGAGTGCGTATATATATAAATCTGTTTCATTCACATTAAACATAAAATAAAAAGTCAATAATAATAATACCGTTGGCATTTCACAAATTGAATTGCTTTGTTCAGACTCTAAAATTAACACTATTCTCATTGCTATTTTTCACTAATAAATATATCTAATATATTTTTTGTTTTCTTGTTTATTGCTCATGTCATGCGATCGCACGTATATTTTCTATCTCGTTTATAAGGTGCAATGTTCATTATTCGTTATTTGTCAAAAGAGAATTTTGGCAAATTCTACACTTTTTATGTGTTGTTCTTAAAAAGAAGCGATATTTCGTTTGTTCGTTGGTCGTTTGGGCTTTTTTCAGACACCGTATGCTGGTATTTTACACCCAACAACATAGATAGACAACAACAACAAAAAAAAAAAATTACAGTGAACAAACTCAGGAACTCAGGCATTTTTCATTTTTTTCTCTCTCTCTCTCCCCCACTTTTCTATATCTCGATTAATGATTTATACAACACACAGCACAATGTTTTTCGCTTATCATTTGTTTCGGTTCTTTCTTCAATTTTTCGTTTATTTTTATTCGCGATATGCTGTTTTCGGAAACACATAAAAAATGCGACTTGTGACTTTCGATTCCGAAAATTTTGTGAGAAACGAAAAGAAAAAAGTTATTAAATAAAAATGTAAAAAGATACATGTGTATATAGTCGCTTATGCATCGTCACAAATTATGTATTGCTGTTTGTCTGAATTTTTCATGTAACAATTGATGCCAAGTGGAAGTGATTTGGCACGAACAGGTGTTGGTTGTTCAACATCTTCATAACTGTGGTCTGATTCGCCGGGCAGCGTATATGTTGGATGCGTTGATGATGCGAGAAATCGTGCATTTGGACGATTGGTATTTTGAAATGTTGATGTAATATCGAATGGCGTATGAGAATATTGAACCTTTTCCGGATGATGATCATGTAATTCAACAAATGGTGGTGCAATTTTTAGGCGACTGATAAACGTCGAATAGATCGATGGTCGAATTGGTGGCGGTGCTGATGATGACGGTGGCGATAATTGAAAGAGATTCGGTAAACGTTTGAATGGAAGTGCTTCTTTTGATGGCAATTCACCTTCATAATCAATTGTTTCTATAATTGCGGGTTTAATGGTCTCCGTTTGGACTTTAACCTCTCTTGAATCATAATCGATGGTTTGTTCTGTTGTTAAATCACTGCCAACATTAAAACCGCCTCCAATTGAAGAACCACTTAAAGCCTCCTCTACGTTGCGCATTTTTTTGCTGTCTTCATCATTTTCAATTGATTCGGATGACGTTATCATCGAATCATTTTGCAATTGAACGGTCTCATTGATTTCAGACGTATTTCGTTTATTAAAATTTTGTGCGGACTTATTTGGCAGCACATCTTTATTTGGAAGCTCTATGGTTGTTGAAGGCTCTTCAAATAATAACTCTTCAATTAAACGTGCTGTAAAATTATTCTTGTCATCGTCAGCAGTCGCAGTAGATTTAACCAATTCAATATTTGAACGTCCATCGATTCCGGTGTTAATAACTGGTGCTAGTACTGCTTCGACCATTTCATCACCATTGTTTACCGATGTATTTTCCAAGCGGTATCTTGATTCAACCGTTGCATTTTTACCAACAATTGGATCGATTTCTTCGGGTAATTCAGATGGTATAAAATAGGCATCGATCACTTCATACGAATCATTTTTATCGTCAACTATTTCGACTTTAGCAGTGGTGCTACTGCTTGATTCAGTTGTTTGACTTTCGGTGCTATTGATGAGGCGTTCCGTTGTCTGTTCAGGTGCCAATTTCAAATTCATTGATACAACGGATGGTACGACAGCATCCACTTTTTCAACGATTTCTTCCGTTTGATTTACCGTGCCTTCTGTTAATGGTGGTGGTAGTTTTTCCGTTGACTGCAATAGACTTGGTTGCTTCTCCGTTGTTTCATCAATTTCAATTGTCACTTTTTCTTTTGCCTCATCAGCCTGTGGTAACACCGTTAATTTCAATTCAGACGACTCATTTTGCGTTTCAAATTGGTCAATTGTACTCGCGGTCGATGATTCCGACGAGATTGTATCGGCAACTGATGATTGCCGTTCAATATTGAATTCGGTAGTACTGGTTGGTTCAAAGTTTTTCAATGTTGAAGATGTTGTTGAAATGTTTTCGGTGGCATCAACATGTTTAAGAGTTGATTTCAATGGTAAAGCGACTGTTACATCTTGATCTTTTTCAAAATTTTCACTTGAAGTTTGATTTTCCAATTTTTCTGTACTCGAAATAATCTCTTCATTCATTTTGGCTGACGATGCAACTGTAGATGATGCATCAGAAATTTCGGTACTTGTGGAGCTGATGTTTTCATTTGTCGAACTTGACGTGTCGTCGTCTACACTTCCCGAATTGATCGTTGGAATAGTCGTGGCCATAGTTGATTCAGATGAGTTTGAATTTTGTAAAATATCGGAAATTTGAGTTGAGGTTGGTTGGGAACTGGTTTCAATAGGATCGGTGACTGTATTCGATGAAATAGCACTCGATGTGGTGGCAACACTGGCAATTGGTTCGGGTTTCGGTTCAACAATAACTTCATCGGATCCCAAATCAACGCCAGTGGTCGATACACGAAAGGGCTGCTTCTCTCGACTGTCTGTGTGGGTTGACGTTACTGATGGTACATGTGCATCATCTTTGACAATGCGATTTAAATTGGAAAACGTTGTGTGTTGTGTTCGATGTTGTTGTGGTATACGATTTTCACTGCTAAATCCTAAACTCAATGGCACCGTATATTGTCCATTTGAATTCATCGATTCAGTTGATTCACCATATTCACTGTAATCATAATCATCATCATATTCGGTTGTTGCGGTGCTATTATTTTTCAATAGCGATTCGATTTGCTTTTTTAGCATAACTAATGGATCAATTTGTAGCGTTTTATAACATCGGCCATCGGGCCCGAGTTTATGATCGGGTGGACAATTTCCTTTTGATTCATTCAAATTTGGTGTAATGAATATTGATTTCGGTATTTTACGCGATTTATCGTCAGAACGATGGGTGTCACTTGTGAGCAATGCCTCCCATACTAAATGATCGGGATTATTTTCGAGCGGTTTCGATATGATCGGAAGTCCGTAGACTAACGACATCATATACATACAAAGTAATAATGCAAATGCTTTCATTTTGGTAATCAATTATCAGGTCGGTTCGATTTAAAAATATGCTTTTTGTTGGTGAATTTCTATTGAGAGAGAAAAAAAGAAAGAGAAAGAACAAAACATAGTTATTTTTATTTCAGACAGAAAAACAAAACGTATTTCAATTAAGATAAAAGAAACCAAATATAAACAAAACAAAAACGGAAGAAATAATAAAACACATCTTGTTTAAACAAGGAAAAAACAACAAATTCGATAATAAAATTCTCAGTTCAATAAAGATAGAGTAAACCGAATCATTATCGTTTTGCGTAAATGTGAAAGATCTTTGTGTTTGAGTGGATGTGACCAAAATCGAAATTTTTCTATTACCTTCATAATTTTTCCGTTTTTCAATGTCCGATGAAAAGGCTAATACAAAACCTTGAAATTCGTCATATTTGTTTTGTTTCTTCGGTGCGTTTGTGGTTTATGACTCAAGGATGATGTAATAAGACAATAAAGATGAAATATTTGTACGATCTTCCTTCCTTTCCGTCCTTTTCCCCCTTTTTTCAAGTGTTTTTTTTTTGTCGTCGTCTTATTTTCTCTCGTTCAATTCGTGTAAATAAAATGAGTCACGGTTTGTTGAATTGTTGAATTTTACTCAGGAAAAAGGTCACATAAGTGATTACACGGCAAATCGATCTGCAAATAGAATTTAAAATCATCAAATTAGTTTATTGGATAACATTTTGATTGTACATTTTGCATTTAATAAAAGAATATGTTTTTTTGAATGCTTTGATTTGCACTGAACTCTTTTTTTATAACATCCAAAACTCACGCACTCACTCTCTTCCCCCTTCTCTCTATATTCACACACTGTATAGAAAATAAAATGCATCATTGAAAATGAGGAAATGAATGCGAGCGATTTTGTTGTGTATTGAGCTGGCGTCAGCATACATAACAGTGTGTCTCTATGCAAATAGAATTTTGCTGACGGAATTTGTAAATTAAACAGACAGAGAGAAATAAAGAGAACGGGAGACCCAGACACAAAAATAAATAGATATACATATAGAATGCATAAACAAAAAGCAGCTGTGAATAGCTCGGGTTGCAGCAGTAAACCATGTACATGAAAACATATTGTCGGCTGTATTCCGAAACATTGCAAAATGATTAGCAATTACAGTTTGTGCGTCGTCAAATGAAGTGGCCCGGATACGAACAGCAACTACATTTGTGTGGTTATTTTAATCGAAAAAAAGACAGATTCATCAGAGAAAGAGAGAGAGAGAGAGAGTGCGAACGAAAAAAAACACGCCCGAAAAATGCTGTAAATGCAATGGATGTGGCGTTTAAATTCGGAAATGCGTTAGATTGCCGGTAACTGTCGACAATATTGACATGCAAATTTTGAAAACCATTTGAAAATGTTTGCATGCATGTGTGTGTCTCATTTGACTTTGAACACACACGTTTATATATATAAAATAGATTCGGTGTTCATTGTTCAAAATAATCATGGTTGCGCTTTGCATTTCTATTTCGAATTTCTATCTCTCTCTCTCTCTTCATCCTTTTTCATCAGCAAACTGATTTGATTGCACGATGGGTGGCTGTCAATTGAAATTGATTTTACCGAATAAATTCAAATAATCAAATGTAAGAGAGGTGGGTTTGATGTTTTGTAATTTTATTTGATTTTGGCGTCATTTTCCCATTCAGTTGTTTTGTTGTTGATTCGTTCGTTCAACAAATTCCAACCATGTGAATTCATTTTAATTCATCGTCGCTGATAACAAATCCACATTTATTCAAATCCCATGAAATTTCGGCATTTTAAATATTTTCTATCACGCACGAAATATTTATTGCATTGCTGTTGCTTCTCTATATGCATAAACACCAACAAACAATGGCTACATACGTGTGTGTGTGTGTGTGTGTGCTTGCTCTTTTTAAGCATGGCGAGATGCACGACAAAAATGCATACAATTTATACGCTGTCGGAATATAACATTTTTTTTTTTTTTAATTTTATTTTGTTTGTCTGCACACAGCATATTCGATTTCCGCAACATCAGTGCGAAGATCCGCGCATTGTCGCTCTACATTTCTTATTATGATTGTCATTTTTGATATGTAATAAACTTTGTCGCTGCCAGCAAACCGAATGCACTATACTCATTTTTCTCTAGATTCAAAGAAGAAGAGAGAGAAAGAGAGAGAAACAAATCTTTACACGTCGGTTTTATTTCACACGATGCTCGAGTTTAACGCGTGTTGTCACGTGTTGTTTGCATTTTCCGATAAAAGTGACACATAATCTTCGTATATGCAAATATTTGTTTGAATGATTCCGGTGTACGCAATGTGAAAAAGTCTCCACCCATGAACAAAATAAAAATGTTAAATTTGAAGAAATTGTGTAACGTTTACTTGATGCACGTACTAAATGGAATTTAACAAAAACAGCAATACAACTAGTTTGCTCCGACTAAAATTCAATGAACTATACGGATTTAACTTGATGAAATTAAAAATAAAAATAAAACAAAAAGTTGAACGTTGTTATTTATCACAAGACCATGGTTGTTCATGTGCCAACGTTGGAATTAAAACTGACCGAATGCACGCATTCAGTATGAGTGGTTACTCTATTCTTGATTTATGTGCATGTGTCAAACATTTGGTCTCCGAAATAGACACTATTCGATATTTTTTTTGTTCGACCATCTCTATCCTTCTCTCTCTCTCTCTCTCTCTCTCTCTCTCTGTCTCTCTCGCTTTATCTTTCTATCTCGTCTATTTCTGTTTGACTCATGCCATTTGTCACATTTTACCGTTAGACCATTATCAACAATTTGCCAGTGGCAATCACTTTATTATATTAGTATGACTATCGTCAGCAAGTGCGCCCGCACGCACACGCACACGCACACACTCACAAATCAAACAATTCACGTACACATCGACCACATTTTAAAACATCATATCAATGTGGAATTAAATTTACAGAGCACTTTACATCAATTGAAATTCGCAACAGTAGTTATCGCATCATGTCATTTCGCATGGTAAAAGTTAAACAATTGAACTTTCGAAATTTGATGCACAATCCACATTGCATTTTCAAACAAATGTATTTACTGAAGTTAGACTATGTATAGACGATTTTTTAAGCACAACCTTCCACCCATTCATATTAATTGTTAATTGTTGATGGTTGCAGAAAAAAAGAGAAAGATCCAAAAACATCATTTGTTTTTGTCTCCCTTTCTCTCTCTCTTTCGATCGCTTGCTCGCTCGCTCTCTTTTATTCTCGACATCTGTAGTTAAGGAGCAGCTGATTTGAAGAAAAAGTGTTAAAAAAGTAAGTATGGAAAAAGGTGAAAAGGGTTCAAATACCCACAAAAAAAGTCCATTGTTAGTAAATTGGTAAATACGGTTCCTTTGAATTCAATGTTGAACTTTGCACACCACTTCTATTAAATTGAAACGCATTTTGCCGACCATACTCAATTTTGTATATTTTGCATCCAAACAAAATGCTCGATTATAAAAACTGATTACATGCATCTCATATGGATATCATATTCATTTGTAAAGTATATATATTTTCTCTTTGCACAATTTTGCATGCCAAAAGCAAATAATATCGAAAGCAATCTACCAAGATTGGGCTAGGTCAGTTTCTCAATTCGATCATTTCGAAAGCGAGATATTGTGTGTTACGAAAATTGTTTGATTCAGATCTCATCCGTTCCCCGCTCCCTTCACTCTCCATCTCATTTTATTTTCGTCTGTATCTCTTCAAAAGACGAGCAGCAGTCGACCAAAAATGCGAGCATAAAGCCAATCAACTCATAAAATGGTAATCCCAAGTCGATTCACAGTACATGTATACATATATTATTCCATCGAAATTCAAATAATCTAAATTGCTGATAATTTGCATTACTTTCGGTGTGGCCAGCCAAATGTGTAAAGATGCAATGCATATTGAGTGGTAAATTAACCAACATTGTTGTAGATTAGTTGTATATTGGCCAAAGTACCTATACCAAATTGCCACTAAAACCAGATCCGTATGTTTTGTCTGTGGAACGGAGCAAAATTATTTGACTGCTTATCTTATGGATGCCACGACGATGGCGACACAGATGACAACTCAAATCGAAAATTTACATCAAGTTTCATTATTTCCATGAAATTGTATACAATATAACAAATATCTCTCGTCTTAAATCCCAAAATCAAATAAAACAATGTATTGTGATTGTGAATTGGCAGACAGCAAAGCATAATAAACATAATTTTTTTTTTTTGCGAATGCCAATTGTCCCGATGAAAATCCGGAAAATCGAGATTGTATGCGTGTAGAATTTATGGTCGGTACGGTCATCAGTCAATACACCAAGGCAATAACCATTCAACCTTCTTGTTAAATTCCTATTTTGAAATTTCAGTTTAATTTGTACGCACACATCTTATATCTGTCGTTGATGATGGCGACTGTTCACAATGAATGCATTAAAAGTAGAAATACGATGAAAAAAAAACCGGTCGAAATTTCTACACAACACAGAAATGATATTTTGCACTTAACACAACGGCAAACGAAACAAACACTTCAGTTCAAAAAAGCCATCAAATCAATTCGATTAAATGACAAAATGAAATTTAATTATTTTATCATTAAAACTTTGTGTATGTGTGTGTACGGTGCGCATATTTCTTCATCTAAATTCGACTCAATCAAAATCACATTTGATCGAAGTTCTCAGCTCTGAAAATTGATCGAAGTTTGAAATGAATTTTCGATTTGATTTAATTCCATTTCAATGGAAAAACCATGATAGACATTCACATATACAATCACTTCAATGATGACGAATATATATATTGATGATATGTAGATGTGGTAAATTTATTACTTATTTGCTTAGACAAAAACAAAATCAATTCAATTTGTCTTTGCATCGGTGAATTCATAAGAAAACCATCAATATCATCGATTCAAAATGTTGAACCAAACACGAAAATCCTGTATATTTTATGAAACTTTGACAAAATTATGCTTCAATTTAAAAATCTGATAAAGGAACATTTCAATTTTATCCGTCTTACATGAGTGTCGCCCAGAAAAAATATTTCATTTTATTTCTTAATTCTCGGAAATACGATGCAAAGTGAATTGTTTACGAAGCGAAAGTGAGAAATAGATGGCAGAGAGAAAGAGAGAGTGAGAAAACACATTTTGCTTGCAAAGCATTTACAGATTCTGTGCAACTACAGTGTTTGTCAACTAGTGTGTGTGGTCGGTGTGTTTGTGCAAATTTGTCTGTCATTCGATACAGTTTCAGTTGTGTGTATGTCTTCTCACGATTCAAACCAAATGCGAGTGAAAGGGATAAATAAACAGAATTGCATAAAATAGAACAAAACAGCGAATGTGATTAACAAATTTTCGTGAACAATATCTCGTTCCAATTTGGGTTTCTCTTTTTAATCACATTGTGTATACAAAATGCTTGCATCCGTGTGATTGTATTGTATGTGTATTGTGTTGACTTGAAATTAGAATGTAAGCCTGACAAGCACCAACAACATTTTGACTGTGAATCTGTGCTACTGTTGTGTTCAGCTAGAGAGCATTTGTCACACTTGATGAAGCCATGTGATTATAAACACTTTTGACAGCACAACACAGACGTTAGACGCTTCATTTTATTCGAGCAACGCATTTTTGGTGCCTTTTTCTGCGTGTCAAGTAAATTATTTCAATTTAATTTTTCGGCCGATTTCCGAATTAAATCCGATCAAGAACAAACGATGGAAAATAACAAAGAAATAGAAGAACTGAAGAAAGTTGTGCGCGCAATAATATTATCACTGAAACGAAATGGCGTTCCAATCCGTTTACTTGAGAAAATTTACAAAGAGAGCGAAGGTAAAAATATTCCTTTATTCAATTATCACGACACAATTGATGTGCTCAACTCATTGGATGACACGGTTTACACGGTAAGTACTGTTTATCCATTCTCATTGAATGAGAAGAAGAAAGAAAAAACATACTCAAAAAATGTTTTCAATTTACACATACTGTCAATCGAAATAGGGAGTACGTCATGGTCAGATATTGGTGTTTCCCGTTCATACTGATAAATCACGACATATTCAAGATTTGGTTGCCGGGCAGCATTCGACTAAACGGTAAACATTTTTTTTTCGTTATCGTTGTCATTAAATTTCATTTATTGATTGAATTAAATATAATTGTGTGAAATTGCCTAATATGTCTGCGTATTTGCATTTATGAAATTGTGTGTGTATTGAGTATAAATTGACAATTTTCGAATGAGCGAGAATACGTTGGTATTCGCTCTCTTTCTCAATGCAAATGACGTAGTTATCAAATCGATTAGCAAACAATTTATTTGTTTGTTCGTTTTAATGGTATTATCGATTTTCATTTTTGTCAGATGTGCTCGTGGCAACATCGGTCGTGCACCACTGAAAACTGATTTTCGTCATAAAGATCCGGATCGCTCGTCTTCACGCAAAGAAACGCCGAAAATCATGGTGAACACCAACTCAATGCGAATCAACAATAACGTGCCGTATAACAATAATTATTACAAGTATGCAAATTCTATTGATACACCACAAACAAATGGTGTTGAAAGCAAACGTCATACAGACTCTGTCAATGGCCGTGTACAATCGATATCAAAAACAAATCACAACGAACAGATGAACAATGGTTATGATAGAACCAGTGTGAACACGGTCGACACCCAACAAGTGAACGACGACAATGATCCGGACAAAGATGATAGCAGCTTTGAACTAAAAGTTGACTTTGAAATGTTACAATTCGAGGAGCAACACATTGAATTTGATGGTTTGCCGACAATTAAATTCGATAAATGTTTTACAACTGGTACATCATTCCGAGTTTATTTGACACAAATTCACAGTCCATATCGATTCTGGTTTCACCTAAAAGAAGACGTCGAACAGATTGATACGCTCATGAGTGGCATGGAGTATGTGTATATTGTGTATACCAATATATTATATTATCGATTTTACTTTCGCCAAAATTCGCTGCCAATTTTAACTCTAGTTAATTGATTGATGATTATTTTAAATTAAAACCTTTTTTACAGTTATTTCTATAATTCTGATGAGAGTATGATTGCCAAGCGTCCAATACCCGAACAACAGCTTATGATGGGCCGTGTGTGTGCTGCATTGTTTGATTCACAATGGCATCGTGCGGAAATCGTTGAAGTTTTGGATGAATCACTGGTGGTTAGTTACTTATGGCATACACAAGTCATTCAATGCATTTATATTGCTTGATTGGTTTCCATTTGATTCAATTTTTATTCTGTTTTTTTTTTTTTGTTCAACGGGTTGAAATGCAGGTATTTTACGTTGATTATGGTACGATTGACGAAGTAGAGAAAAAAAATGTACGATTTTTGAACAAACGATTCTCAAAAAGTCCAATTTATGCGCATCGCGGATGTTTGGATCGTTGTAAACCAAACGATGGAATTTGGACATTTGAAGCAATGAACGTATTTGAACGACGAATGAATGATTTTAAAGACACGGCAGTTTTGGTTAAATTGACCAATGTCAACGTCCCGGTAAGATTTTATCATTTCCATTTTCATTTCCAATACATTCAATTTTTCTTTTTTGAAATTGTTTTTAGGAAAAGACCCTCTACTTCGATATGTTTGACACCAGAGGAAAAATTGATGTAAGCATCAGCGAATTCATGATTGATAATAATTTGGCATATCCGACCAACAAATTGGTGAGTTTTATTCAATGTGTGCCCAAAAAAATGTATTTCGCCAAATAATGTCGATTTCAATTTAATCTTATTCATTTTGCAGTTATTCGATTTTCAAAAGCGTCATTATAACGAAGTGTACCCATCGTAAGTAACGAGACACGCAATACAAACAATTTAAAAAACTGTTTAAGAAACTGTTCAAACATTGCTAAAATTAAAAATAAAATCTGACCATTTACAGATTCGATAAGTTGGAAAGTGGTAAATATCCATCGAGGGAGCGAATGAAACAGATGCTGGACAATGGTTTTGATTATTTGGAATATGAAGATTCGATACTCATTCCAGAAATGTATGGCTACGAGACAATTGAGTAGCTAGCTCAGTGGAGAACTTTGACAACGACATTTTGATAATGACTTTTTTCTCTCCTATCTATTTACAATATTAACTGATCAATCGATTTGAATTAAAAATAGAAATTTAAGTATTACAGACAAGTTAAATTTAGCTTCATTAATTAAACAAACGATTTGTGAAACATTGACGGATGTCAATTAAATATGTTCGCGTGAAGAAGAACGAACATCTTTATTTCTGTACTATTATGAATCATATTAAAATGATTTGATTATCTAAAAATTCATAAAATGGATATTCGTATTTTTAAATGATGATGCGTAATTGTTTTTTTTCCTACAGCAGCTTCCGAATTTCATGATCATTTCGATGTAAAAATCATTGAACTTGTTTGCGATGTGTTTGTGGAATTTTATGTAGGGCGAATTGGAGTGAGGGTAACGCAGACAGCGGGAGAGAGAGACAACGAATAACATTTATGTGTCTGTCGAAATTTGATGTGAGATGGTGTGTGTGTCGGGCGGCCAGTTGAACAAACTCACAAAGTAGCTATAATCGGATTGAAACAATAATAACGCAAGTGACTTCAAAAAAACGCGCACAATGTTCAATGAAAGGAAAAATGAAACCCGTTGACCTCACTTACAGCGATAAAACGGCCGATAAAAATGAAAAAGAAGAAGCTGAATACGAAATATAAAAATAAAAAAGAAGACAAACTCTCGGTCAATTAAGAAGCATGTGACATCAGCACTTGTGTTTCGAATTTGTTTCCTTTTGGATTCATTATCGAATTGCGGTCTCTCTCCTTGCAAATAATATATAATCATGCAAAAGATGCACTCTCGTTCGATTTTCGTTTTAAATTAATTTATATTTACTATTTGGATCGGCAGCGAGTGAGAGGGGGGATAGGAAGAGAATTTTCAAATGGTTGCTGCATTAAATGGAAGAAAGGACGTTATTCTTGAGCGCAACTGAAATGGTTGCAAAAGACGAATCGATGAGAAACATATTAAATATAAATATTTTTGAATAGAGAGATAAAGAGTGAGTTCAAGTGGTTTTACAGTTTGTTTCCAATCATAATCGTATGTAATCGGATTGCGTTTGCAAGTGCTTCAATTCATTTTATTTTATTTTTCATACTTATATACTTTGGGCCAAGCCAGAGCCAATCCGATTTGGTAGTGTTGTTTTTTCTGTCTTCTTTTTAACAAAATTTCTTCAATCCAATGTAATTCAATTTAAAATGCGCTCAAGAGTCTGTTTGTTTTTGTTTTCTTATTCTGTCGCTTGTTTTTTCTTTTATTTCATCTGAATATTTGTGTGGTGTTTTTTTCTTCTCTTTGGTTTCGTTTCGCGCTGCTATTTCTCAACAATTTTATCATCTCGTCGGCATTTCCGTGTGCCTCTTTTTACATACCGTTACTACTGTTATTAATTTGAATTTCATATTGAATGAATCGTACATATGTAGCTGTTATAAAACACATGGATTTGCGTCTCTGTGTGTCGGGTAAGTGCGTTTTGTATGTGATCCGTTACGTTATAAGTGTTCTTTGGAAAATGTGACCAAATCACAAAAAAATTAAATTAATAATTACTTGGCTCGCTTTATTTTCGGTAAATGTGTATCAAAATCCGATATGGCTTTCTCTTTCATTTGCTTTCTCAATTCCGTTTTCTTTTCTTCAATACAATCTCTGTTTACTTACACTCGCACGCACGCATACTTCACTGGAACCGATCAATTGATGTTGACATAAATTCGGTGTGCACATTTTTGGCAGCCGGTTTTAATTGTATTTATAATCAATTTAGCGAGAAAATAAAGAATCAATAGCTTCTCACATGCTTAATCAATTCAATGATGGTGTGTATTGGGTGTAGGCATTAATTTCCGGAATTTTTTTGGTTCAAAGAAACATTCATTTAATAATAATTAGAATGAGTACATTAACCAATGTATTGCCCATCGTTAGCTATGACTTCCGCCTATCTTCTTGGTAGCTTGTCGATTCCGCGTCGGAAGAATTCCTCATCTTTTGAAGCTATCCAGTCATCGATCCATTTTCGCACTCCTTCAGCATTTCGAAACGATATCTCGGACAAGCCCATTTGCATCGATCGGAACAAGTGGTAATCAGAAGGAGCAAGGTCTGGAGAGTACGGGGGGTGATCAAGCCGATCCCAACCGAACGCCTCTATCTTTTGTTTGACGATGTGTGCTCGATGTGGCTTAGCATTGTCGTCGTGAAACAAAACTCGATGGTGTTTTCTCGCTACCAACGGCCGTTTTTCGTTCAATGCATGCGCCAATTTGTTCAATTGTTGTCGATAGCGTTCAGCTGTAACCGTTTCACCTTGTTTTAGCAGCTCATAATACACGATACCTTTCTGATCCCACCATATGCACAACATAACCTTCTGGCAATGAATATCTCGTTTTGGCTGCGAAGGTCCTGGTTGGCCTGGATCAACATACGCTGCTTTACGTTTGGGGTTGTCGTAATAGACCCACTTTTCATCGCCCGTGACAATTCGACTCAAAAACTATGTTTTTTGTGTTCTTTAAGATGTTTTTTGCATGCTGTGATTCGTGCTTGGAGCTGATTTTCAGTCAGTTGATGTGGTACCCATTTTCCCAACTTTCGAATCTTTCCCATTGCATGCAAACGTCTTGAAATGGTTTTTTGGTCGACATTTAACTCCATTGCGAGTTCTTTTTGGGTTCGGGCCGAGTTTTCATCCAATAATGCTTGCAAATCTTCATCTTCTAACTTTTTTGGCTGACCTGGGCGATCTTTGTCTTGAACATCAAAATCACCACTTTCAAATCGTTGAAACCACACGTAACATTGTGTTTTTGAAAGAGCATGTTTGCCATACAATTTCACAAGTAAACCACGACTTTCAGCTGCAGTTTTCTTTGCAAAGAAATAGCTTAACAAAACTTCTCGCAAATGCTGTTTCTTTCTCCAACTTTCAAAATTTTCCATCGTTGAAAAAAAATATGATGCGCACAAACAAATGAAACACTCTTGACTGATTTTGACAGCATTTGAATAGGTCTTTCAAACGACATACATGTCATTGATCTTTTACAACGCAAGAGCAAGTGGTGACATCTGATGTCAGATTCCGGAAATTAATGCCTACACCCAATAATACAATCGAAAAGCATACTGTTGATAGAAAAGACACTTTCCGAAAGAATAGTTGATATCAAAGTTCAAGTAAGTGTATTTTGGCCAATAACTGAGCGTTACACGAAAGTTGGAACAAAAATACTTTGAGTGTAAAAAGAATAACCTTGTGTGACAATGTGAACTTAAAATAAGAAGAATAAATAAATATATTACGCATATTACAGAATTATTATTTATTTATTGTGATACAGATGTTTATGCAAGCTTTTGTTTTTCATTTAATAAAACATTTGCCACGTACATATACATGGTCGTTTTTTCAAATTAATCTTCCCAGAATTGTCTAAGAACGTGAATCGATTCATTTTCAATCCAGTTTTCAATTTATTGTGCAAATAGGGTTTTCATAAAGTATCGAAATAGTTTTTTTTAAAACAAAGTGATA